TTAGAGCAGCTGATTTAGGGATGAGAACACTACAAAATGGATGTCTTTTTGTAGCGTTTCTGGACATTTTCAATTCTTCAGCTGGGCCATCCTGGGTTGCTTTTGGAGCCTTCAAACACACCCTGCTTCTTGTCTATAGAGTGTCTAAAGGTAACATCTGTATTCCAGGAAGTTTCTGATAATAACTCTTCCTGAAAATGCAGGAGCCGTTAGCATCCTTTCTTGCTTTTGACTCCGAAATTGTTTTTCATACTCTAAGGAGCCTGAGCCCTGTGAAAGCACGGGACTCCATCTATCCATTTCCCATTGTAACCCCAACCCCAACCCCAACCGCTACCAGACATTCACCTGATATGGGTGACCGGTGATGTAGGACTTGAGAAAAGGAAATCTTACTTAGGAAAGAAAGCAGCAGACCTGTTGTATAGTTTCATTTGCTTTACTAACCAACACTATGCTATTAAACTGTCCTAAAGTACACGCTAGTCAACTGTCAGGCTGAAAACAGTTATCACGAGTTATTACCCAGATAATCTTGCCAGTCTCTTCGTACATGAACATCTGGCACATTCTCTGATTATTTATTCTCTTCACCCCACATTACAAATCATGAGTATTTAAAAAAATAGAGAACCAAAACTATCAGCAACTGCAAGGGTGAGAAGTCCTTTACGCCTGAGAACACACCACCCCTTCCTTCTTCCCGTCTTTATCTAGGCTTCTCTGAACATCTCAACCTCCTTCTCTAATCTGGAAAACCCAGAGCTACCCCTCTAGGAGAGCTCACTTCCTATCTGTGCTCTCTGTACAACAGCAATCATAACACTTTGTACCTAGACCCCTGCACATCTCAAGTCTTCCTTCCAATGGGACAGCAATTTCTTCATGTCATGGGCAAGGAAGTCAGGCCCACAGTGAACCACATGCTCAGGACCTCGTTCTATTGGTGTGTGTCAGAAGCAGCAGTACTCACGTGATTGTCGTCCCCCGACCTAGTGTGTTTCCTCTGGGGTCAGCGATGACAGAGAACTCATTGGAGTCTGACTCCCAGATGTGCTGGGTGTCATTGTTGTGTTTGGACGTGACAATGACCTTATCTGCTACAAGGAAGGCAGAATAAAAACCGACACCAAACTGGCCAATCAGCTCAGAAGTCGACTGGCCGTCTTCTTGGGCCTCTGTCATTTTGTTTAAAAACTCGCTCGTTCCAGATTTGGCAATGGTACCAAGGTTTTTAACCAGCTCCTCTCTGGTCATTCCTACACCAGTGTCTGTGACATGCAGCAGGTTCTTCTCTTTATCACACTGAAAGCAAGATAAGAATCAGAGAGTTAGGTCTCCTTATTTACATTATGCCAAATGCCAGGTTCTACATGGAGCAATGACCAGCTTGGGCCACATCAACTTTAGATAGATACTACTCTGTAATCTACTTGATGGCATTTCAAAAGCACTCCTTAAAAGTATGTTTCTTTGTATTTTTAAATGCAGTGCACTTCAGAAAAATAGGAAGAGACTGGTTCAAATGTCAAAGAACAGATACTAACCCAAATAAAACATTTTGAAGATAAAATTCCAGAAAAACTATTTCATAGAACACAAAAGGACTAAAATCAGTGATTATTCATGTTCTTCATTAAATACCCCTGGCTGTCTCCAGGAGCCTGGTAGGACTGTGCATGTACCCATCCACGGGCCATGTGATTATTTCTGCCCAGTGAAGTTGCAAGTGGGAGTTGTGAGTGTGACTTTCAGGCTGAGCCTTTAATTGATGTGCGACCCTTTGCACCATGGCAACCAGAGATACTCCAGATGGCTGCTCAGTCAGCCTATGGAATGATTTAAGCCCAGGACTTGGCTACCTTTCCCTAAAGGGCCAAGTAGTATCTATTTTTGGTTTGGGAAGCCATAAGACCCTGTCACAGTGATTACTGCCATTGTAGATAAAATCATTTATAATGTTACTAGTATGACTGTGTTCCAATAAACCTAATAAAAATAGGCAAAGTCAGATTTGTCCCACAAGCAGCCTGAGGACTTCCAACCAAATCCACTGTGACTAGCAAGTCACTTTTTGCAGCAGAATAACCCACTGTATCCAACTGACGGACTGCCTGGCTTCTGAGGTTCCTTTTTAAAAAGGACAGTTCAGTTAAGCTTACCTTAATCTTGACCGTTAACTCTTCATTCCCAGCCAGGGCATTCTCATCAGTTAGTGAGATGAGCCTTATCTTGTCTAAAGCATCGGAAGCATTTGAAATCAGTTCTCTCAGGAAAATCTAGAAGGAAGTCAGAGTAACACACTGGGATTAACCCCCGGGCACAGTAAGATGTTGCTTTTTCTGCCAAATTCCTCATTTCTCCTCAGAAACATGAAAAGACAAGCTCTTTGTGGTTCAAGGATGGCTTCACTGTCTTCATAAAAAGCCAGGTGTGGCTCTTCATAAAAAGGCCTGTGGTAACTACAAGGGCTACCCCAACTGGTGAGAACAGGGATACGATTCTCAGTCCACCCTCCATCTTTAGTTCACTATACCTGAGAGCTCAGTCTGTGTGTGACTGCCCCTCAGTCAGCAGGCCACAACCATACTCGGAGCTAAAAGGCAAGACTGGGAAAATGTCAACTCTCTTCCTCCCCCACTATAACCAGCAACAACTCTCATTCATTCCTATTGTGTATTTAAACTTCACAATTACTATATACCTAAATCTTCCTAATCTACTACCACAGGGATACAAACTGCTGTCCTAACCACGTGACACTTACCTCTTTATTTTTATACAAAGAGTTGATGATAAGTTTCATCATCCTGTTAACTTCGGCTTGGAAAGCAAACTTTTCAGACTTTTCTCTAAGTTCTCTTATTTGTGATGCGTTTAATCCATCCAACTGAATAGCTTCTTCCTCTCTAAGGAAATCAAATTAGATAAGCAACTGCTTAGTTTTCATTTGAAAAAAAGTCTCCAGTCAGGACAGAGTGACGGTCTGAAGACTGTCTCATTGAAGGGTAAAATGGAAACCTTTATAAACTACCATTAACATACCAGCTCATTTTTATCACAGTAATGGGCTGTCACTCAGTGGGAAATAGTTCCTAAAATTCCCAGAAAAATAAACCCAGCTACCCTCTACTGAAAATCAAGTACTCATGTATGCATGTCCTCACAGCTAACACTTTAGTACTGTTGCTAATTCCTAAGAGATCAAAATTTAAAACACAGCTCTCCTATTGCAGAACTCACATTTTAAAGTTCCTGGCGTAAGTTCTATTTTCTTTTTGTATTACTAACTTCACACAAACGAACAAAATCAATCTGAAGTCATCTGTCAGTTCTTAGAGTTCCCAGCACGAGCTGTGTATCTGGTCCTGTAGCATCACTACCAGCTTTTGTTTTTAGATGCTGAGATGCCAGGCTTACCCCCAGCACCTCATTCAACTTCCCTCCTTCAATCCGTAGTCATTCCTAGCTAAGAATTAGGAGAGACATCTGTGTGCAGATAACTGGGTACTCCTCAACATTTCTGATTATTTGGTATCATTAGCAACTATCTTATTAAGCACTGGATGTTCCTTAGGCTGGAGAAGGAAGAGGCAACCACTGTGTCCCACAGACTTTTAAGGTTTTATCAGCAGAGTTTCCAGGGCACCGACCTCTGCACAACTTCATCGTCTGTCCTTGAACCTTCTCTGCTTTTACCCAGGTCCTCTTCTACTGTACCATCCACATCGACTTCATCGTCAGCTCTAACAAACCCTGAGGAAAAAAGTTAAAACTCTCAAAACACTGTGGCTTCCTCTCCTTCATACAAAGAACAAGACCAAGCAGGGCTAGAGATAAAGTTAACAAAATTCAACAAGATGGGGGGGAAGGAAGAATGATGTATTGATTTCAATAATCAATGTCACACCAAGTTAGCGCGCTAAAGTTTAAATGGAAATGCTCAATACCCCCAGTAGACTCTGGAAGACCAGGCAGCCATCACTTGTGTCCAACGCTCCCTCGAAACAAGGCTAGAGTGATACAGGCCCCATCGACACCCACACGTGTTGCACACAGTGTGGAGGCCTACACTCGCTAAGCTAAAACGTGGGCCTGCCTTAGTTGTCACAGGAAAGAATGCAAACAGGGTTTTTGCAACTTCTAGAGAGGGGAACTGAAATCGGACCCAAAGGGGAAGACGTGTCAAGGACTGTGCTCGCAGCACATTGGAATCGGGCGCTGGCCTGAGGCCGCACGCCTGCAAGCCCCGCGTCAGGAAACAGAAACGCACTTCCGAAAAATCGGAGGGCAGGGGCCGGGGGTCCTCAGGATGGGGTGGCCAAAGGTCGGATCTGATGACAAAAGTCCTTAGGGAGGGGCCCGCGGAAGGCTCCCCCGGGACTAGAGTCCGAGAGGCCGCGCCCCGCCAGCGAGACTTCGGGGAGCGCTCCAGCTCCATCCAGCAAGGCATTTAAATGCCCCGGCTCCAAGTCGCCTCTTCCTAGAGGTCTCAGGGCAAGCCTCATCACCCGAGTCTCGGGTCTAAGAAAGGAGATGGTCCCTGTACCCTCTGCAGCTCCTGGCGTCCCCCTCCCAGGCTCAACGCCCCCAGAACGTTCGAGAAGCGGTCGCGAAGACGCGGGGGGGGGGGGGGGAGGCACCCGCTGCCGCCCGATCACTCACCGAAGGTCAGCAGGACGCAGCAGAGGCCTAATACCCAGAGGACCCTCATGGTGCGCGGACGGCGAGTCGCAAGTCCTTTTCGGTCGCAGGAGCCGCCTCCGCCCCCCCACCCCGAGTCTCAGGTCCTCACACCTCCAGCCGCGCGGTCCGCCCACTAAACCGCGCGCAGGTCGGGCTGCTTTTCACCCCACTGCTTGCGGGCGGGGGACGGGAAACACGAACGCACCAATCCCGCCTCACCACGCACTCTCCGCACCCAATGGGGACGCACGGGGGGGACCGCAGCCCACCAATCGGAACTGTCCAGGTGCGGTGCCCGATGCCCGAAGCGTGGCTCCTTCCGATTGGGCTTGGCCAGCGGCTTCCCTCCAATCAAATGGCTCCGCGGGCCCCTCACACGCCGGGCCACCCCTTGGCCTGGGAAGCCTTGGCCTCTGAGGAAAACCGTCCAATGAACGTAAGCGCAGAGCACGTCTGTCCTTTCCTAGAGGTCCCGGGGAATCACTTCCGGCTCCTACAGAACGTTTATTCCGTGACTAGGGGAAACGGTAGCCAAGACAACGCGTTTTTTACCCTTTTCTCGTCTACGACGGGGGAGTCACGTTGGGAGCCATTTTAGCGCTACGCCCCCCGTCACCTTTCTGTTCGACGTTGCTTTTGGGAAAAGAGAAATATGTAAGGGATTGAACACCCTCCCGGGTGCGTTTGGATGGTGGTGAGAAACTACATTTCCCGGCATGCAACGCACTAGGCTTATGGATGCTGGGAATCGTAGTCTTAGGCCTCTGAGCCAGTGGGCGTAGTTTGGCCTCTCTGCAGTCTCCTGTCATGTGTCTGCGGGAAGTGTGTCCTCAGTGATTTAGGATTTCCACCTCGTTCTGATTGCAGATTAGATCTATGCTTGTTCCAGGACTCTAAAGCACACAGTTTTCAGAGGCGGACCTGGAAAGCCGCCCCGCGTGGCCCTAGCCGCCGGGTGTCAAGAGGGCCAGCCCTGAATTCTGGGCTCCGCCTCTGGCCGATGGTGGCACGCGGGTTTCCAGGTCGGCCACCTTGTGCGTCACTCCGGGCTCTTGGAACCTTCAGCTCCACCTGGCGTTTCGCTGCCGGCATCTCCTTACCTCTCTGGTTTTGTTTGCAGTTGAGGGTGGCTGGGTTCTCCAACCCAAAGGGAAACTCCAAGGACTCCAGTTCCTTTGACATCCCTATAAATACCAAGGAACGACCTGGCAGTCCGACAGCCCCTCTGTGAATCAGCTGGACAGCGCGGTGGTGAAGTCCAGGCTAGCACAGAACAGGAAAGGACATGTGCAGATACTTGAAAGCAAAAGCCGCAGTGCTTGCAAATAGCTGGACCGTGGCTTTGTAACTTCGTAGAAACATCTTTCCGCCTTCCGAAAGACAGCAAAGGGGCTCTTTCTGGTGAGGGAAGTCCCTAACGCCAGCTTGTGCATTCCGAAATGTTTTCTAAGCTCTTTAGCCTTATTTTAACAAATTTTCCTCCAGCCCGAGTGCCTGTCTCTAACATACCCGCTCCATCACTGCTTCCTCCAAGAAAATTGGAGTTGTTTTCAGATCATCCAAATTCCTGAAGGCAAGCTTTTCAGTGTCGTAGTGCCTTTGACAGCTTCCGGAATTTAGACTTGCCAATCTTGAATCTGTGGTTTGGTGTTTACATAATGTGATGCCTTATTTACATATGTCTGATTTACCTACATGTAACAAAGCACAGAGAAGCGTTAAGACACAGGCTTTTTTCCTCTGTGCTTGTGTTTGTATAGAGCATACCAGGATCTTATTTCTTTCTGTTTTTAGAAAAAGATGTCTGTTTCTGTGTTTGACAGCCCAACATCACTTTTTTTTTTTTTTTAAGTCGACCTAGTAAGCAACTGGTCTGAAACTGCAAATGCATCTTAACTGGCCAGTGGGGGTTAAATTGGGGCTGCACCTGGGAGGAACTGAGAATGAGAGTCATCCTCCAAAATAAAGCTGCTGTTTGTGGGTAGAAGTTTCTGCAGATGATGGTCCCCGGAAAGAAAAAAGAAAAAAAAAGAAGAAAGAAAGAAGCTCGTAGAATGGTTGGCCCTCATCTGACTCAACTTTGCTCTTTTGGCTCTTCTGAGATTGCTGGCTGAGCGCCCTGTAAAATAAATGGGTGTCTGAGAAGAGGCACAACGGGTAAAATGATTGCCCCGCTTGCACTGTGACCTGAGTTAGGGTTCTCAGCACTTGCATAATGGTCAGATGCTGGTCTGGAAGCCCAGTCGGGGGTGGGGGGTGGGGGGAGGTAGAGACACCCCCCCCCCATGAGAAGATAGAGGAATACACACACACACACACACAGAGAGAGAGAGAGAGAGAGAGAGAGAGAGAGAGAGAGAGAGAGAGAGAGAGAGAGAGAGAGAAAGAGAGAGAGAGAGAGAGAGAGAGATTCTTGGAAGCCTAGTGTGTTTTCCCCATGTTCTGTACTTCTGACTTTTGACCCGTGACTGATGGCTAGTTTCCATTTTGCTGTCTTTCCCCAGCACTATACTCAAAATGGGGTTTTTAAGCTCGCTACTTTTGAATCTGATTCTCTTGCTTCCTAGTGAGACACCCTGTGAGTGCTAAGAACTGAACCCTGGACCTCCTCAAGAGCAAGTGTTCTTATCCACAGAACCATCTCTCCAGGCTCTCTCTCTCTTTAAGACATGGTCTTTCTATGTAGCCCTGGCTGTTCAGGAACTCACTATATAGACCAGTCTGGCCTCCACTTGCCACTGCCTGGTATTAAAAGAGGGTGCCAGCCGGGTGGTGGTGGCACACGCCTTTAATACCAGCACTTTGGAGGCAGAGGCAGGCAGATCTCTGTGAGTTGAAGGCCAGCCTGGTCTACAAAGTGAGTTCCAGGAGAGCCAGGAATACACAGTGAAACCCCATCTCAAAAAAAACGAAAACCAACCCCCACCCCCACCCCACCCCACCCCCCCAAAAAAGAGAAAGAAAAAGAAAAGAGGGCGCCACCAGTCCTGGCTAGTGTTTCTCTTTAACTCTGTATGTTTGTGGCTACTACTGTCCATGGCTACCTTTGTTGTGATTTTTGTCATAGTTCTTAAGCACCTCTAAGGTCATTAGTCCCCGGTCTTGCAGTTAAACTTGGAAGGAAAATCCAGATGGGCAAAGGGGATGCAGTTATGGGTATGAATACTTCCCTCAGGTGTGTGTGTTAATATAACATGTATTAATATAGCATATACTAATGTATATAACATATATATGAGATATATATATATATATATCTTATATATATATATATATGATATATATATAAAGCAGATGCAATCCAGCTGTGGGGAGACTAAGGCAGGAAAGCACTTGGCATTTGGAAGCACTGAAGAACTGAGGGATGGAATGGATACCAAGGGGAACTGGTGGGTTGATTGATTCCTTCCTTCCCTTCCTCCCTTCTTCCTACCTCATTCTGTTTTTCTCTTATTAATACACCAAATATAGGACCCGATCTGTGCTACGTATTATACTAGGGGCTGAAAGTCACTGGTGGACAACGAAGATGTGGTCTTTGTCCCTACAGCGCATGAGCAGTATTAACAGTCAAGGTGCACCATAAGGGAGTGTTATTTAGTTATTTATTTATCTATTTATTTATTTATTGAGTCAAGATCTTGCTAGCTAGCCCAGGCTAGTCTGAAACTGTGTAGCCCTGACTAGTGTCCAACTCAGAGTGTTCCAGAGAGCTAGAATTACAGGAGTACACCTGTACTCCTGGCTGTAAGTTCAAGTACAGAATTTAACCTGAGTAAAGGCACAGCAGAATGCTACAAAAGAGAACCATGGAACTTGGAAGGGAATATTCTTGATCTTGATTTTGGGGGATGCCCAAAACTCATCAAATTGGCTGGGTGGTAGTGGTGCACGCCTTTAATCCCAGTACCCAGGAGGCAAAAGCAGGTGGATCTCTGAGTTCAAGGCCAGCCTGGTCTATAGAACGAGTTCCAGGACAACCAGGGCTACCCAGAGAAATCTTGTCTCAAAAAACAAAAAGAAAAAAGAAAAAGAAAAGAAAAATTGAAGTCCCTTATTTTGTAATTATTGTTTACATATCCCAGATACCCAAGGTCTTAGTTTTGTTTTGTTTTTTTTTCTTTTGGAGCTGAGGACCGAACTCAGGGCCTTGCGCTTGCTAGGCAAGGGCTCTACCACTGAGCTAAATCCCCAACCCATGATCTTAGTTTTTTTAAGCCTCAAATGAATATGAGGATCAGGTAAATTATTGATTTTACTATGAACCTATAAAAATTAAGTCTTACTCTCATTTTGCAAAAACATAAAAATTGAAACAAAAATCTCATTCATATTAGAAAAAAACACATATGTGGGAATAGGCAAAGACATAATTCCAGTATGAAGAAAACTATATACAGTATTGAAGAAATTAAAATAAATAAACTTGGACTGGTCTGTGCCTCTGAATTATGAAGTGCTGTGTAATAAGTTGCAGCTTAAAGACCACCCCCTTTTTGTCTCACATGGTATCTGGTGATCTGAATTGAGGCACACTGTGATATATTTTAGTTTCTGTGTTTGTTTTTCCAGGCAGGGTCTCACCGACATTTCTCCTCCTGCGTCTACTTCCTGAGTACTGGGACTACAGGTGTGTGCCAGCCATGTCCAGAACTTCCTCTCCATTTATTTGGTTTATTATTGTTTTGTTTTTCAAACTCTGTTTTTCTCTGTGTAGCCCTGGCTGTCCCAGAACTCGTCCCTGTAGACCAGGCTGGCCTTAAACTTACAGAGATCCACCTGCCTCTGCCTCCTGAGTGCTGGGGTTAAAGATGTGCACCGCCACTGCCTGGTGTAGCGTTTGCTTTCTTTGACTATCTTTTCTGTAGTAGTGGGAAAACATCTTTATGTGTGTAGTTTTTAACCTTTTGGCTTAGTTGCTTGAGAGTGATTCCCGGAGCGTAGAATCACTGAACCACAGATGTTTGGTACTTGAACATCTTTATTTTTATGGCTATGTGTGTGAGCTTGCATGAGTTCCTGTGCACCACGTGTGTGCAGCTCCCAGCACAGGCTGGAAAAGGACACTGGATCCCCTGGAACTAGAGTTACAGAAGGTTGTGAGCTTTCATGTAGGTGCTTGGAACTGAACTTGGTCCTCCGCAAGAGCATCACTTACAACACGTATTTCCCCAGGACCTATTCTGAATCTATCGCATCCCAAGTGTTAGACACTCGATAGTAAGAAAGAAGTAATATCTGAAGACTGGGCCAGACATGGGGGTGTATACCTGAACTTCAGCACTAGAAGAACAACGATTTCAAGTTTGAGACT